GAAAAGGACTTGGGTGTCCTGATGGATGAAAAGCTGGATGTGAACGAGCAGTGTGCATTTGCAGCCCAGAAGGCCAGCTGTATCCTGGGCTGCAACAGAAGAGGAGTGGTCAGCAGGGGAAGAGAGGGAATTGTCCCCTCTATTCTGCCCTCGTATGGCCCCATCTGGAGTACTGTGTCCAAGCCTGGGTGACCCAGTACTGGAAGGATGCTGATCTGTTGGAGCAGGTCCAAAGGAGGCCACAAAGATGATCAGAGAGCCGGAGCACCTCTCCTGCAAAGAAAGTTTGAAGAAGTTGGGCTTATTTAGCTTGGAGAAGAGAATGCTCCAGGGAAATTTCATTGCAGCCTTCTAGTACTTGAGAGGAGCTTATGAGTAGAAGGGGGGCTGACTTTTTACATGGTCTGAAAATGGTAAGACAAGGGGGAATGGCTTTAAGCTAAAAGAGAGGAGATTTAGATTAGTTGTTAGGAGGAAATTCCTTACTCAGAGGACAGTGAAACACTGGCACAGGCTGCCCAGAGGAGCTATGGATGCCTCATCCCTGGAGGCGTTCAAGTTTGGGTTGGATGGGCCCTGAGAAGCCTGAGCTTCTCAGCTCAGGTGGGTGGCAGCCCTGCCCATGGCAGGGGATTCGAGTAGGGTAGGCTTTTAAGGTTCCTTCCTACCTCATCCATTTTATGATTTTATATTTTTAGTACTCTCTGAGGTATTTCGATTCTTGTGGTGTAGGATCATTCAGTAGCATTTAAAATAAACTAAATTAATTTCAGTCGTGTTTATTCAGTCTTATATGCATAATGAAATGAGTTGTTATTATTTGTACGGAATCCTAGTAGCTATTCATTCAGGATGAAATTGATTGTTGATCTAATTCAGTTCTGATTTGTTTGCAATCCACAAGATACTACAAAGCATGAATTACACTTCCTGTTAGTACCAAGTTTCAAACTGAACATAGGAAGATTTATCCCAATAAAAAGCCATGATTTACTTTGCACTGTCAAATAGTGATAGCAAAAACCACATTTTTCGTATAGTGACCCATAGCAACCATCAGTGGCAAAGATAATCCAAGTTAGATCTAGAAACGCAATTCTCAGTGCCTTTCTCCTTCAACAACAAGATCTAAAATAATCTGCACTTCTCAGAATGTAAGATCATAAAAATGTTGAGATCTTACTTTGAGTCTAGAAGTGAATTTTGGTGTAGATTTATCTTCTCCAGGAACAATAGTCCATAAACAGTACAGGAAGCTTGACTCACAACTCTGCCAAAAAGTTATTCGGTATTAAAACAGAAAAAACCTTCTGAAAAGGAAAAATCTGTGGTCTTGTAGAAAAGAACTGAAATCGTGCAGACTAGAGTTGGAAACTATGAAGTGGAAAACAATGACAGAAATTTAAAATACCTTCCTTCTTTCCCTGAAATAGCCAACTCCCTTTACTGCCTCATTATACATCAGTGCTATTGAAGGTTCTGTATTATAACGAGAATATTTCTCACGCGTAAGATTTTTGAAGGCAAACTGCAACAGCAGAAAACATTTTTCATAGATCTGCATAAATGAGAACCATGCAGATACTGCATTTATATTCAGCTGATAATAAAAGTTTATTTAGCAAAGCCATTAAAGTCTGATTAAAATTTGATGAGATGATAGGATAAATGTGGTAAGAACACTGGGGTCTGAATTGCTGCCAGTATTGATTAATACCTTTAACACCCCAATGGGAATCCTGTCAAAAACATATTTCAAATATAAGTCATGGGAATCAGAATAAAGCCCCAGATAACAGCTGCCATATCATTTAGTTGAGAATATCGTGTCCCTTTAGGACAAGCAAATGAAACAAGGTAATGGAAAGTTGCTGAAGGATTGATTTGACTCACGAATGTACATGGGAATTTACAGATTCTGAAGATATGAGTCCAGGTTTGTACATAGCATTCACCAGCCTAGTTGAATTTCCCAAGGGTTAAATGTGGCCCAGGTCTCTCTCCTGGTCACTTTAAATCAGACAAATATTTTGATGTATTTGAAGTTAACAGTTTGTAGATGGTAAGGGAATACATCTGGCAAGGAAACCAACGCAGAAGTGATTACAGAGAGACTCACGGAAGAAATTGTTTTGCTGACAGTAAAAATACAGTTTTTCCAGATATGAGGGTGGTATTAAACAATGTAAAACCAAGAATGAGAAGTGACAGACAGGAACAGATGTGGATGAAGATTCAGAAAAATGTTTGGAGAAAGGAAGAAAATGTAATAAAATCGTAACTGGTCTGTTAGCAAGTCTGTCATTTCTTTAAAGGTGAAGATAAGAAGCCTGAACTTTTATGTCAAGGCAGAAGCTCAAAGAAATGTGAAAGGAGAGAGAGAGAGAACTGCAAAAGCATTTCTGCTATACTTGTAGGGAAAATACTGAGATTTGGAAGGAGCAGAAAAAGGGTTATGTTTTATGAAAAAATCAGTCAAGCATGGCCTAGATTTGAAAGAGAACAAATTAAAAAAGAAAGGAATGAATGCTTGTGATTTAAATGGACAAAAGGTTAAGGGAAGTGTTGCAGATGACTGTGAGGTTGAAAGAATGGAACTGTGAATGATGATAAGGAAAAGGTAAGACCTAGAGTTTGCAGGGGGGAGGGTTGGTTTTGTTTGGTGGTTTGTTAGGGGGATGTTTGTTTTGCAAAAACAAGCCATGGACGCCTTACTCCAAATCCTGTTTCTACAGAAAGCTAATGAAAAAGAGTTATTCATACAGAATAAGTGCAAAAAGAATTAACTGCAACCCAGCTCAATAAAGTTTTAGTGAATTGAAGAGTTCGTATTATTAAATAAAAAGCAAAAATCAAATCCAGCATGGTTTCAATGGATACAATACCAAATAAGGTTGATGTTATTATTTTATTAGAACAGGCTTAAGGTCTTTAAGAATCTTGTATTTTGTCTTTCATTGCTTAATCAGTAATGGCAACTTTTATTTAAATTATCTGTCACTGACATGTTTTGGGACCCTGAAAGGTTCCTTACTCTTTTGGTAGGAAAGGAAAATCTAAAATATCTGTAACAGGGGATTCCTGTATGTAAAATATATCATTGTCATGCTTGGATCTTGATCCTCAGCTAGCAACCCTCAGACTGTTGTCTGCAGAGGTAGCTAATTACCAGAGGTTTTGGTGGAGACAACAAAGCAGAGTTAGGTTTACTGTTGTGGCATGGTTAGAACTATCTGCTCATATTTGGATAGTACTTGAAGATTACAGAACATGAGCAAGAGTGGTGAGAATGTTTAAGGGGAAAAGTTGCTATGAGTTTGTAGCTTTTTTTTGAAGATGTGTCAGTAAGTGTGCTTTGCTTGGAAAAGGCTGTGAGATGACTGTGTCGTTCATACATTAAATAGCAAATAACTTTGTCATTCTGCTATATTAGCTCAGAATAGCAGCTTTGAAATCTAAGCATGCGTATATTGAATTTACTGCTTCTTCGGTACTTTTGTCTTGTTTTGTTATAGCTGGATGCAATATTGTTAGTTGTTACCCAGTGGACGTTGTCTCCAGTCTAGGATTTCATGTACTAGTGCATTTGATCTTTTCTTCCAACTGATCTTATGAAAGAAATTGATTCCTAATAGATATGCTAAAAATAATTTTCTGCTCAGGGATGAGCATATTTGTGCTGTTCAGTTTCTCAAATCTAATACACTTACTGGGCTTTAAATTAAAGTTCTTCCCTCCAAATTCATTTTACCTAGACATACAGAATCGTAGAATAGCTCAGGTTGGAAAAGACCTTCAAGATTATCAAGTCCAACCACAACCTAACTATAACTCTAACAACCTTTCACTAAATCATGTCCCTGAGCACCACATCCAAACAGTTTTTAAACACATTCAGGGATTGTGACTCAATCACCTCCCTGGGGAGCCTATTCCAGTGCTTAACAACCCTTGCTGTAAACAAGTGTTTCCTGATATCCAACCTAAACTTACCCTGGTGCAACTTGAGGCCATTCCCCTTCATCCTGCCACCAGTCAGAAGAGACCAACCCCAGTCTGGCTGTAAGCACCTTTCAGATGTGGGAAGAGAGCAATAAGGTCTGCCCTCAGCCTCCTTTTCCCCAGGCTAAACAGTCCTGGTTGCTTATGAATTAAGCAATAGAAATGTCCTGAGTGCTAATTGTATGTAGCCTGATGCTGAAAGTGTTAAAAGAGAAAATGGAAAGTTAACTTGCTTGCAGGGAAGAGTTGTTTGTTTTTGTATGTCTCTTCTTGCTAACATAAAAGCTTGGCTTACTGAATAATCCATGAGAAGCTAAATGTCTGTTAGCTGAGGTCACAAAAATGCTGCTGTCAGCAGTCTGCCTTATATGGGATAGATAGAGCAGACTTCTGATTTAAGAGGTATGGAAGCAATAATTTTCATTTTGGAGATGGAAAAGCAAGGCCCAAGACTAACCACATAGACTAGTGCAATTAATGACATAATTCATATTTTGAAGTTCAACACCAATAGATTCCAGCAGGAATTAAAGAATGTAATACTTTGATGGGTCTGGGTCTAAGTGGCTTCTCAGTCAGCTAGGAAGACTGGAGAAACCATGCATTACTCTGTGAATTTCATCCCAACCTTCCTTTTCCTTAGTGTGCAGAGGTTATATGGCATTATGTGCAGAACAGATTTTTCTGTGCATTTTCATTCTTGCTTTAAGAAGTGGGGGAAAGCATTCATGGTAACTGAGGGTAAAATACATTAGGTGTGGTCATTGGAATGATAATGCAGAGTGTGGAAATGTTAAAAAAAATGAAAGGGGGAGATAAGCTGCACAAGGAGAGATTGCTTGTGCTGCTGGGGAAGTTAAATGAAAAAATATGCCAGCATTGGTTGGGTTGGCTGGCAGGGCTACAAATACATCTTAAATACAATCTCTACCTAATGTCACTAGTACAAAGTTCAAGAAAATTAGATGTGTACCTTGAACTTGCATCTTTACTTGCAGAAACACGATGGCCACTTCACAGTCATCCAGCTGGTGGGCATGCTGCGGGGAATTGCATCTGGCATGAAGTACCTCTCAGACATGGGCTATGTACACCGTGATCTGGCAGCCCGTAACATTTTGGTCAACGGCAACCTCATGTGTAAAGTCTCCGACTTCGGTTTGTCACGGGTGTTGGAGGATGATCCTGAAGCTGCTTATACAACAAGTGTAAGTTTGTCTTATCTATTTTGAACGGTCTGTCGCTCTGCCCCTTTTGTTTCAGATTTATCTAAGCCATAGGAATAATGGATTGAATTGGCTGACTTCGTTCATTTGTCTTTAGTTATAAAGATATGCACATACAGGAGGGGAGGAAAACCTCTCACTGCTTCATCTCATGGAAGTCTTGCATCTTAAATTTAATTTTGATATAATTTAGCTTACCTTCTATTGGAGCATGTAGGACCGTTTTGTCAAGGTTTAAGTCTCATCATTAATACTTAAAATTCATCATGCGGTACACGGAAATTTGTTTTTGTAACAGTGAATATTTGTGGGTTTGTTGGTTAGTTGGCTGGTTTGTTGGTTGGTTGGATTTTTTTCTTCAGTGAAGTAAAATCTGGAGAAGCTTGTTCAGATTTGACTTAAAGAGAAATTAAACTTCAACTACAGTATGAAGCAGATAGGGAACGGATCACAGTGATGCCAGTAAAATTTCAAGCTCACTTCTTCATCTCTGCAAAATATTCAACAACATTCCTCTTGTGATCACCACAACATCAAGAATCTTAATAAACTGATTTCAAGTAACTTTAATTCCTATCCGTGAAACTAAAATTATTTCAGAGCCAAGACACTGAACTTACACAAGGCTGCTCCAAAAGTAATGCCTCCTATTGTATGATGGTAACCTACAATGTCAGAGGCAGATATTGGTGGTATGGCAGTAAAGGTTGAACCTTCGCACTAAAACTCTGTTCGATTCTGTTGCCATGCAACAGAGGGCAGCAGAGGGACAGTCTGACAGAAGCAAAGATGTGTCACTGAATTTCTCCATGCAGAAAAAATGGCACTCACTGATTCATCTACACTTACTGAGCATTTATGGAGACCAAACAGTGAATGTGGGCACAGGGAAACAGTAGGTGGTGCGTTTCAGCAATGGCAAGAGAGACAATGAGTCACTCCGCTGGTACAGATTTTGATAAACACAACATACAAGCCCTTGTTCATCATAGAGAAAAATGCATAGCTCATGATGGTGACTGTGTTGAAAAAGAGTGCTTTGTAGCTGAGAATTTGTTCTATCAAACAGTGTCTTCTTATCTGCTGTATCGTCCATGGAAATAAGTAGGAGGTATTACTTTCAGAGAGACCTACATAGGTTTCTGTGATAGGACAAAGTGACAGAATGCTAATAGAGATGGTAAACTAGCATTAAGTAATTTCTCCGTAAGTACTTTCATTTTGAAAAGTGATTTAGGCCAAAATGAGGAACTCATCTAATTTAACTGCAATTGTAGTAAGTGTTTTCTTTGTTGCATTCAATATTGCTGTAGTAATGGTATTGCAGAGTCTCTTTGTTTAACTCTAAAATAAATATGTTCTGATAAATTCACTGAAGTAAAAGACAAATGAGATTTTATAAAGCTGTCATGCTCTATGGCAAAATGGGTTTCCTTCTCACAAAACTAAGCTAAGTGGCACTCTTACCTAGAGGATTTTCAACATCTCAGCAGGCACAGCCTTGAGATAGAGGTGACTGACATCTTTTGCTTTATCTTGCTGTTGTCATGTACATTTTCTTCCTCTTTCTATATTGATTTTGAGTAGATGCTGTGTTGTTTCTATTGGTGCATTCTCCCACAAGCAGGGCAAAAATCTAGAATCAGTCTGGAAAAAGCAGTAACTGTGATAGGGGAAGGCAAGAAAGGAAACTTCTTAGAATACTACAGCACTCTGTGCTCATGCTTGTTAGGAGACTGTTCAGGAAAGAGTGATGGAAAACCTGTCAGGTGCTCCAAAGTAACACAGTGTAAGGACAGCATGTTTCCCCTAAAAATCAGGAAACAGCTTTTGACTTCTTTTTGTTGTTTTGGTTTGGCTAACCTATTAGGTTGGCCAACCTATTGAGACAATGAATGTAAATCTTATTTCCTAACTCTGTTTATCATTTATAGAAAAACTTTAAATGACGTATTATTTCTGAATAGGGAGTATGAATTAAGAGTTAGTAATACCCAACTGCCAATCTTTGTTTTTCAAATTTGATAGGAAAAGGTAAGGAAACTTATGAGATATACAAAAAAGTGTGGTGTGTTTTTGCCCTATAGAGACTAAATTTTCATATTTTGTGTTGGTTTCCAAGGCAACAGCAGCTCATGAAAAGACATTTCCAGAATATAAGCAAGCATTCCTGTCAACACAGAGGACATCCAGGCTCTTGCATCCTTCTTTTAGGTCCACTATTTTATATGATGTGGATTCATTTGAATTTGAAATATATTCACAATACTTAGAGAAAAGCCATGGGTCTCCAGGAAAACTTGTATATAGCAAAATGTGTACATATGTATGAACAGATCATGATCTGTGTCACTACTGCACAAAGGGCTACACTGGTATCTGTTCATGGTGACACCTCGATATTCTGCATTTGGGTATTCTGCAGTTGGATGAAAGCCTGCTAAAAACTGAACTGCGTGACTCATAAAGAAATATAATTGTAAGCTTTTATCATCAGGTGTATTTTTGAATTTTGCCTTAGTATGTACAACATATTCTTTCCTTAATACTTACTAGGAAGTTAAATTATTGGTTACTCTTTACGGAGTCACTCGAAATGTGTGGGTTTAATTCTTCTCAAGCCATTTGGCTAAAATACCTCATCCAGGGAGATTTCAGATATATTAGATTGATTAGAGGAATAAAATAGATTGACAGCAGTAAGGTATAGAAACACTGACAAATAATGAAACTTCTGGCAGCTCAAGATTAAGGCTTAATTTGGGTTGTTGGGTTTTTTTACTTTATTATATAACTTTGACATGTTAGAACATTTTCAATATTCTCTCATTGACATAAGTTAGGAATATGAAGGGGGGTGATGGTTTAAATTGCTCGAAAGAGAAACAAGATGCAAATGATTTTGGGATGTGAAGTAACTGTTTCTGAACGGTCTCATTCCTACGACAAGCATATTACCTAGTCATTTACTTTAAGAATTAACTGTAGACAATGAAGTACCCTGTTTATTGGCAGCTGTTCAGAAAAACAAGACAGAGGGACTGTCAAAAGGTTTTGCCAAATCAGAAGTACAAAATTCAACGGGATCCTGAAGGGGTTGTCTTTAGATGAGGCAAGACGATACCAATTTTTCTTTACCAGGGTTATTGAGCTCCTGTGCAGGAATCCAGCTGCTGGCAGCCACTAGACATTTCCAGACATCACACATTCTGGATTCTAACCTTTAACAGCAGCAGAAAAGACTGTAGCATGATTTTGGTGCTAACATATAAATCAAACATTTTTAAGTATTCATGTCTCAGAGTATGCGTGAGAGGTAGAAAGAAGCAAGTTACTAAGAGTTATGCTGATGTGCTTAGTCTGCTCCAGGGTATGGAGATGGAACATCTAGTTAAAGCATGTGATGAAATTTCAGTCAAGTGGTGTTCAGCTTAATTGCCTTCCCATGAGTTGCTAGATTCCTTCTCTACACAGAAGATAAGTGGAGGTGGAGACGCATACGTGCTACTTAGAGACACTGTCTTTTGTTGTGTTAGACTGGTCAAACATAACACATGTTCAGGTTATGCTCAAATATTTGTCAAATATGACAAATAACTAGAGGATGAAGAAGCATCATAAAGAATAGTGTTCTGCCGAAAGACTTTGACCCTTTGACCTGTCACATAAGAAAATGTGACTAGTCTTGATGTGTAGTTCTGTGTTTCAAAGCTTTGATCACAAGTTCATCTTAGAGGTTTTCTGGTTTTATCATCAGCTTTCAAGAGCGGTCAATACAGGATTGCCAACAGAATGTAACAGAGATCACAACCAAAACAGACCCTTAGGAAGAAACTCTCTGGACAAGAATGAAATAAATATAAATCTGCATAATCTCTCCTAATTTTGTCTGATTTTCCACTTCTGTGAGTATTCTTTCTAATAATTGTCGCTTGACCTACAAATGTATGGGGTTGAGGAAGAGCACAAAAGTTTTCATTTAGGTGCTGAGAGTCAAAAGGAGCTTAATTCAGAGAGATCTCTAAATCATGATGTTGAATTTAACTGTAAAACGTGATGTAACAGCTCCTGCTATTATATATAAAAGAGCATCCCTGCTCTTTCTTCTCCACCATGCTACCTCAGTTTTTCACCCAATCTCTGGAAGTGTTCAAGGCCAGGTTGGATGGGGCCCCAAGCAATCTGATCAGATGGGTGGCAACCAGCCCATTGCTGGGGGATTGGGGCTAAATAGTCTTTAAGGCCCCATCCTACCCAAACCATTCTATACATTTAGGAACTCCATGTATGCATTAAGCAGATAAATACAAGTGGAAACTTTGTGTTTCATGAGCATGAAAATGTTCAAAATCATTTTTCATGAACTCAACATAAATTCATCCTAGCATCTTGGTAGTTAGAAGGGAGTCCCTTCCAACTCAGGGTATTCTGTAAATCTAGGAAGAAAACAAGTAACAAAATAGCAGAGTACGCATTATTTTCAAGCTTTCTTTGTAGCAGGCTGCAGAATTAGAGCACCTTATGTTTGATTCACTATTGCAGTTTTTTATTCAAACAGTCAAAGTAACTCTAACCAGTAAAAAGATCCCATTCATGGATGTGCAGATTTTTCTTTGTAAAAGTCTTTGAATCAGGATGGCATTTTTCTTGAGGATATGCTCTAACATGTGCAGAAGGGACTGTGGAGGACTGGTACACTGAAATTCTGTATCATGTGCTACTTAAATGCAAAATAAATCATCCTGGCTTCAAGATTTTTTTTTTTTTTTTTTTTTTTTTTTTTTAAATCATTGCTTTTAAGTAGTTTAATTCCTCCAAATAGATTTGTTACTGAAAATGATAACAAAACATGTCTGTTGGAATAGCAACCCAAAAGAAGCAGTTATCTGTCGAAGTACAACCCAGCAGAAATACTCTAGAGTGTACAACAGTAAAGATAGATAAACTAGGACAAGCATGTAAATCTGCAGAAATTAGCAGCA